GGCTGAGTTTGATGGTTACAGCTGGGTTCACTGGCAATGTAGAAAAGATGGTTCCATTATGAAGATGGTTCTAGTCTATCGCCACCCAAGACTAAGGAGAACTTAGATTCGCTCTTGGGAAGGAGGTGCACAGAGATGCAAAAAAAAAAAAAAAACATAGAATAACATTAACCGTCTCAAAAGTGTGTGTGTGTGTGTGTGTGTGTGTATATACAGTACAGGCCAAAAGTTTGGACACACCTTCTCATTCAATGCATTTTCTTTGTTTTCATTACTATTTAAATTGTAGATTCTCAAAAGTATGAATGAACACATGTGGAATCATGTGCTTAAGAAAAAAGTGTGAAATAACTGAAAACATGTTTTATATTTTAGATTTCTCAAAGTAGCCACCCTTTGCTTTTTTGATAGCGCTGCAAACTTTTGCTGTTCTCTCAATGAGCTTCATGAGGTAGTCACCTGAAATGGTTTTTACTTCACAGGAGTGCCTGAAGTAAACCTGACAAGGTACTTCTGTCATCAAGAGCAAAGGGTGGCTATTTTAAAGAAACTAGAATATAAAACATGTTTTCGGTTATTTCACACTTTTTTATATAAGTACAAAATTCTACATGTGTTCATTCATAGTTTTAATGCCTTCAGTAATAATCTACAATGTAAATAGTCATATAAAAAAATAAAGTAAAGACATTGAATGAGAAGGTGTGTCCAAACTTTTGGCCTGTACTGTATATATATATATATATATATATATATATATATATATATATATATATATATATATATATATATATATGTAGATACAGATATCTAGATAGATAGATAGATAGATAGATAGATAGATAGATGATCAAAACAGTTTTTCAAAAGTAAGGTGAAGAAAAGATGAATGTTTGGGACGATAGAGGAAATACTTAGTACAACGTAGATGTTAGCCAAAAGCTCCACAGGAACACAAAAAGTGGATGTGTTTGTCATTTCCTACATCTGGAGATGCTTGACACACTTACACAAGGAAACAATAGAAGACTAAACCACTCACACAGGACTTTATTATCTGCAGATCTAACTGTGAAATAATCCCATTACACATCTCCACTCCTGATCTATAGATACAGATCAATGTTTCTGAACACCACCAAGCTCCTAACCTGCACTCCGTCTCTGGCCTAATGGATTGTGATGACATTATCATGCAATCCTTCAGTCATTCAGACCCACACAGCAGATCCAGATGCTAGCACACATGTCCTGTGCTGAGTTGGGAAACAGATGAAGAAAGACTTAAATTAATAACAGCTAGTAGCAACAACCCAAGTGTCCGCCTGAAAATGAAAGATGGCGTCCTCTGTGATGTATCTTCATTCTATCTGTCACACTCAGAAAACACTCAGCTATGTTGTTTCACAATACGCCAACTCACAAACAGGATGCAGGGTCAGAGGTCGCTGATATGGAGGGAGGACGGGAAGGAGAAATGTCATTACTCTTCTGAACGAGAGAGAAAGTTTAAAAAAAGGACATATTGAGATAAACAGCAAACAAAAGGATGGAGAGCTGCTGCATGAAAACTTCCACCATCAGCATGTTTGTCTGTCAGTTTGGTTCGAGCTCCAAAGTTTGCCAACTTTTTTCCCAAAATATTAGGGATGATACCGTCGCTACACTCTAGCTGCTTTAAAGTTTGAGGGCATGGAGCTTGACTCACTTTTGACAATGGCCTCTAGTGGACACTCGAGGAACTGCAGTTTTTGACACTGGTGTCAAAATCATCATCAGACTTAAATGTGGTCCTGGGTGTGTGGTTTGTGGTCATCATAAACAGATACTAAAACAACACTTGCTCATTTTTATAGATCTGTTCTGCCCAGGATAAAAAAGTTCCTAAGACATCTGCTGGATAACATAAAATTTTGTACAACAACCTGCTCTTCTTGAGAAGAAGAGATAAACCTTCATTAAGTCATAAACAAATGCAGATATTCATCTGCAGGAGGGAGTCAGACTGAGCCCACAAAAATTTTTCTTTTGTTTGGTTTTTATGGACAATTTAGAGACCCCTTTTTTAATGACTGTCAGCGTTCAATGAAATTGTGGAACAGCTCCTGAAATCCGACAATATGCTGATGATGTTCTGTTTCATATATGTAATTTCCTCTACAGCAACGTACACTTTTCTGGTTTTGAAGTCACAATGAGTTGAGTGAATTATTTCCCAAATGTCTGCTGATGCATAAATAGGCACATTTTGGGCCTTCTATAAAATCTTTGGTCTCAAGTGAATAACTATCCCACAGCTCGTGTATGGCTCATCTCCCTTGTGTCCTAATTTACGGGAATGCTACACAGATGTTCACAGGAATCCCATCAAATCCAACTCCACTAACACTTCAAGTTACACAATTATTTTGTTCATGTTCAAGTACGATGAGTAACTCAGATGTAAACAGATGAGCTACAGAGGAAGCGACTCTCAAAAGCATCCCCAGGAGTTTACTCTGATCTGTAAACTTAACTTCCAAGAAAGATAGGATTCCACTCCTGTAAACAGCACCAAAACTGTAGAAACATTTTCTGACACAAACTGCAAAAATCACCTGAAGGCATTCTTGTTCAAGATGATCAGGGCTATGGAAAAGTAGGTCCTCAGACCTATGCAGCTTCGGCTTACTGCTGCGAGTCATTAGCAGCTCAGTCCCAGATCTCCACAGTGACGTCACCTTCAAACACCGGCTTATTACACCCTCTCTTTTCTCTGGAACGTTCCCTTCAGCAGAATCCAAAGAAAAGGATGCAACACAGGTGTGACGCAGCTGTTTATCAGCATAAATAAAGTGTTTATAGTCATGGTTTATCTGCTGAATTATATTTATCAGTCAGACCAAGTGGGTGTAAATATTTAACACATGCTGCAGATGATTCATTGGAGTTTCCTTGGATCTTTCGTATGTACGCCGACTGTGAGTAAAATATGAGTCAGCAGCTCACATGAAAATACGTTTATCAGCATATAGTCAGTTCAAACAGACTCAAGATTTTGAAATCTCACAGGCTTTTTGCAAAACAGCTCCATGTGTCAGCCAGACATGCAACGTGTGGTCGCAATCAGGATTAAGAGATAAACACATTGTTTTTATGGCGATAAACAGGAAATATCAGAGGAGAGGATTAACATTTGAAACAAACTAAAGCAACTTTAACACTTTGATACACTCAAATACACCAGAGTAAAGAAAACAAGAACAAAGAGAAAAACTTTCAACAGCAATTAGAAACAAACTTTTCCAATGATGGTTCAAGAATTTAAACATGTTTTTGGACAGTTGCAGGTACCAGATCTGCTCGGGGCCCAGTGCCTGTTGAAGACATCCCGATACAGCAAATTCTCTTGGACAAACTACATTGCGCTCATTTAATAAGTCAAATGTCCTCAGTTCAAAGCCCCTTGCAGTTTTTTGTTTTTTCTAAAGGAAAAAGAAAAAATGATGTAAGCAGGATCTCCGCCTATCAATAGATAGTTTTGCTTTTATTCCATATTTGGTAGTCGGACTGTCATAAGTCCCCTTTGATAAGTAGAGATAGATTGCTTCGTAAAATCCGTCCATGTTTTCTTCAAAGCACTACAAACTCCTGACACCCAATTCAGCAAAAATCACTTTCGTTATTTGTCCAGACCAACGACAATGTTCTAAGTCATCCAAACCAATTTTCAGCCAATCATAAAGCGTGATGTCATCAACAAGCGCCGGGCCCCAAGGCAAGCTGATCTGGCAGCCCAAGCACATCTGGTACCAACGCAGTATCTCCAAACAGGCTTCGGTGGTGCAGAGATGCATCGTGATGTTTTGCAGCAACCGCATGAACTTTTATCATTTCTGAAGAGGACATGATAAGGTTGTTGAAGACAGAGCTGTCTTTTTTTTCTTTAAGGCAATAAAAGAGGCCAAAAGTCTCAAAAGTTTTGAGGCAGGAATAAGACCTGGTTGTCCCGCTGATGCCTGATCGGACTGTATTATCATTGTGTTCCTCGTGGTCATGTTCTGATGCCCACCTTCCCAGAGTAGGTGGTTTCAGTGGTAGACAGGGGTCTTCATGGACATACTGACCAGTCTGCAGTATGCTCTGTGTGTCTTTAATAGTGTAACAGTCTGGGCTCCAGTGCAGAGCTCTCCTGCCAGCTTTAGCTCCCCAAACCATCAGTGAGCCTTGGCCATCCATGAAACCATCACTCATTCAGTGATTTTCCTCCTCTTGTCCACTTTTGGCAGGTAGTGACCTGTGCAGACAAGGGACACCCTACAGGAGCAGCAGTTTTTTAGATGTCACCTAACCATCCCAGTTTGGTCCTTGTCAAAGTCCTACTTCCATACACTTGCATTTTTCCTGCTTAATCTCATCAGTTTTAGTTCCAGTATTCCCATGCTGATGGATGTAGTGCTGCCACTTACAGTCAACATTACAAATAGGTAATCAATGTTTTCACTTCCCCTGTGGCTTACAAATGCAAATTTATGCAAACATTAACCCTTAACACTAGAAGGACCAGCTTTTGCTGTTCCTACCTATAAAGACCAAAGGGCAGCCAAATGGCTTGGAGGGCTTTTAGCCAGTACTAAATGACCTGTGAACACTCAGTTTGTTATGCAAACGAGGCGATCGCTGGCGCACCACAGGAGGGGATATGCTGAGTTACTTCAAGAAAACTTGTGTTGTTGGGAGAGGGAGTGGGAAGGGGGAGGGGAGTTTGAGAACAACTTTAGACAGAAACTGCTTCAGCCATAGCCACTGCACAGACAGTTTGGGCCTCTGTTTGTTTTGTTTGGTTCTACTTCTCCTGATGTCCCTACACCTCAGCAGATGGAGAACCAACAGCTAAGGCCAGGAGGTCCATCTTGACTGGTCTTCAGAGCTTCCTGTGTTTCATCACACTGGACATGCTTGGTTCTATTCAAGACTGTGCTGTTCAACATACGAAGCTAACAGAGTATGTTGATTGGTTCATGGCCCTCCCTGAGCTAATGGCATTTATTGCTATTATTATCTTGCGGGGGCTGACCAAGTGCCCATCATTGAGTGACTGCTGGTCAGCAAACCTGGGAAACCCCCAGATCATTGCAACTATGTCCCAAAATCACTTCAAAGACATTATGCGACACCTACGCTTTGATGATAGGGACACCCGCAGTGAGCGCACAAAGACTGACAAGTTTGCTGCAATTTCTGCCGTGTGGTCGTCATTTGTCACCAACTGCATCACATCCTACAACTCTGGTCGACACATCACCACTGGCGAAAAGTTTTTCCTGTCAAAGACTCGCTGCTGTTTCCTGCAGTACGTTGCAACGAAACCTGACAAGTTTGGGATCAAGTTTTGGGTGGCTTGTGACTTGAAATCCAAGTACATCTGCAATGTCCTTCCATATCTTTGCAAGGACCCCAGTCGTCCCAGTGGGGAGAGACTGTCCGAGAACGTAGTTTTGAGGCTGATGGAACCAATCCTGGACAAGCGCAAGAATGGAACCACAGACAATTTCTTCACATTGATGTCACTTGCGCAACCACTGCTTAGGTGGAAAACCACCATCCTAGGCACAGTCAACAAGATTCGCTGGGAAATTCCACAATCATCTAGACAGAGGAACTGCAATGAATTCACAACTCAAGTGTTTTCAACCACTGGAGCCATACTTACGGTGTATGCGCCCAAATGGAAGAAGAAGGTCTACGTTCTCAGCAGCATGCACAGCGTGGTTCAGACTGAGAGTACCACCAAAAGGAAGCCAAACACCATCACCCTTTACAATGCAACAAAGTGCGGCGTGGATATGATGGACCAGATGTCCGCACAGGAACACGGCGCTGGCCAGTCGCTGTGTTCTATAACATGATTGATATGGCAGCATTGAATGCACATGTGCTGTATCAAGCATGCACCGGGAGGAAGGAGAGACGGGTGGACTTCCTGGTGGAGCTTGCAAGAGAGTTGGCTAACTCTCATGTAACTGCAAAGAAGGCACGAAAGGAAGAATTGTTTCGGCAACAACCTTCCACACCTAGCCCTGGGAAAAGAGCCATGTGCCAGGTTAAAAATCACTGTAAGAACAATCATGCCACTGTGCGATGTGTTGACTGCTACAGATACACATGTGGGAAATGCAGAAGGGAGATACCATGGCAGTGCCAGGATTGTGAGTGACAGTCTAACACTGTATCCTGATGATGCATATTCACCTGAAGTCCATCACCAACCTTTTTATACTTTATATATGTCCTGCATGCTCTTGTTATTTTCTATTCTTGTATTTTACATATTATTCTCTGTTTAATGTTGCACCATCACGCCGTAAAAAATCCTAGCATTGTACATAGCCTTTCATACTTTTATACTTTATATATGTCCTGCATGCTCTTATTATTTTTTATTCTTGTATTTTACATATTATTCTCCCTTTTATAATGCACCAACCCTTGAAAAAATTCCTACTCTGTGAAACCTGTTCATTGACAACAGCAATAAAACCCCTTGTGATTGTGATTCTGATTCTTGTTCTTATTCTATACAGTTTTTTAAATTTCATTTATTTTAAACCCATACATTTCAGCAACAAAGTAAACAACCCATGTGTGTTGATCCCTTCCTTTCTGTTGTCCCTTCCCACTGCATACACCACTAAGTCCAGTCCCCTCCTGTGGTGCGCCAACGATCCTCTCGTTTGCATAACAAAATGAGTGCTCACAGGTGATTTAGGATGTTAGCTAAAATCCTTCCAGCCGATCGGCTGCCCCGTGGACCTTGAGGGGGGTAAAGCCAAATGGCTGCTCTGCGGTCCTTCTAGTGTTAAAAAATCCTTGACATTTTGTGCCATTTCGTTTTTGTTTTTTTCATGCCATTTTGGCTGTGTTAAAGGAATATAGCTCAAATTTGCCAAAGAAAATTGTCGTATCTGTTCCTGAAATTAGCCTAAAATGGCTAAGCTAAAGAAAAACTGACACATTTGATCCTCATGACAAAAAATGTCCCATTGAAAACCATTCAAAACACCATGTTTGATCCCTCATTTATCACAACATAAACTAATCCATTCCCATATGTTAATATTTTATTTTGGACTACTGGCTTTCTATTTTTAATTTTTGTACTTGTTTTTATACTTGTTACTACTTAATTTACTACTTTTTACTTAATTTTTACTTAATTTTACTACTACTTAACTACTTCGGGGCGGCAGTAGCTCAGGAGGAAGAGCGGTCGTCCAATAACTGGAAGGTTGGCGGTTCGATTCCCCCCTATCCCAAGTCTGTCCGTTGTGTCCTTGGGCAAGACACTTAATCCACCTTGCTCCCAGTGTGTGTCCTCCACTGGTGTATGATTGTGAGTGTTGTGTGGTGGTGGTCGGAGAGGCCATAGGCGCAAAATGGCAGCCATATTTCCGTCAGTCTGCCCCAGGGCAGCTGTGACTATTAAGGTAGTTTACCACCACCAGGGTGTGACTGTGTGAGCGAATGAATGATGTATCCAATGTAAAGCACTTTGAGGGTCTCTGATAAAGCGCTATATGAAATCTGATGCATTATTATTATTAATGTTTGTGTGTCTGTGCGTGTGTATGTGTGTCCATCTTCAAAAGTCTTTTCTCTTTGAAGGCCACAATCTGCATTACATGAAAGGCGGGAACCAAAACAAAATTGGACTTCGTTTTGGTTCTCCTGTAGGAAGCATTGTGACTTTTGCAGGACACATCCCTAGTACTTCCAGTACCTGTCCCTTCTGTCGCACACATTTTTCTGACTTGTAATTTTGCTCCTAAACAATCAGTCCCCCTCCTTTCTGAAGTGAAGGCTAGCCCCTGCACATATGCTCTCCCTTTCTCCATCTCTCTCTTTCAATGTTTATCATGTAGTGTTCATTTTTTTTCAAATTATTGTTTTTTTTTTCTGGTTCAAACTGATCTTATACATTTAATATATTTTGAGAATACAACAAGATGGTGGAAAAATAACAACCTTGGTCTCGTAGTGGGACAAGGCCTAGATAAAATCATCATATATCAATAAAGGCTTAAATTATTAACTTTAGTTTGACACTGCAAAATAAAAATAAAAAAATAAAATAAAAAAATTATATATATATATATATATATATATATATATATATATATATATTTTTTTAAGGATCTTTTGAGGATTTAACAATGGTGTTAGCAGAGGGCTTTTCAGTGTTTTCCGGAATTACAAATTTTGCCTGACGTTGACTAAGTGGCACAAAAATGACTGAGTACATTATCAACATATCTCGGAAATCAAATAGGAGTCCCAAGAATTCAGGTTGAGTAACATCTGCATGTTAAAACGACTGCAAAGACACACACACGCACACACACACACACACACACACACACACACATCTGTTGCCCTTTTCCGTAAACCAAGCTCTGGCCTCCGTCCCATCAGCTCCCCGCTCCCCACTCTATCACCATCAGTCTTGACTCTCTGGGTTCTTTGGAAGGACACACATCTCTGTGCAATTCTGATGAATCTATGGGAACAAAGAAATCATGAATCATAAAATAAAAGAAATGCTTGAGAATGATTTTGTAAATTGTCCCTTCAGTCTGCAGTTTATGGTTTCTGTCAGCTGCTGCACATCTTCAAAGTTTCAACAGCTGTTGAAAAAGAGCTGCAGAATCACTCAACTTCCTGTTGGTGGAGGGGGTTTCATGCCCATGATTAAGCACTCTTTGCTGCCTGTAATCAGTGATTCAAATAAGGCCAGTTTTGCAAGTTGGGGTGGGAGTGTATGTTACAATCTTTGTAATTATCATGAACTGATAAATTATTTTTACCACATTTTACTTTTACTTTTACTTCACATTTCACTTTTACTGACATTCGACTTAAAGCTAAAACTTAAGATAAATTCAGAGTTAAGCCCTGTGCACTTGTGCAAGAGGGACAAACATCTCCTAAAACCCTTATGTTCAGTAAGGAGCACCGCCAACTAAACTGCTTGATCGGTCTGCAGGAAAGCTCATAAAACTTTACACAAACATTTTTATGGATCCAAGGTAAACAGACAGAAAGCTGCGGTTGTTCAACGACAAAAGCTGCAGCACCTTAACACAAAAGAGGCCAAATTCTGTTGGTAATGATACTAATAGGAATCCTCTACGGCGAACAACACCTCAGTCCAAAAAAGTTGGACCCTGTTTGAACACCAATAAAAGAGATTTTGATGTTTGCACAACATTTAAACACCATATTGAACTACAAATGGTACAAAGCCAGTGATAGTACATATGAGTAACATGACTGAGTATAAATAGGACATTGTGAGAGGCTGAGGCTCTCAGAGGGAAAGATGGGAGGAGGTTCATCACTCCGTGAGAGACTGTCTGAGCTAATAGTTGAACAGTTTCAGAATAATGTTCCTGAGTGTCAAATGTGAAAGAATGAGTGGATTTCATCATCTACAGAACATAATATCATTAAAAGATTCAGAGAATCTGGAGAAATCTCTGTACTAAAGGGACAAGGACATGATCCCACTAAGGTGGACTGAGATTCATCCAGACAGACATCATCCTTTACAGGAGTTTTTGTTTAGCTCTTGTATTATTAACCCATTTATCTCAAACTGTCACATAATGAAGACTGAGACCTTATTGGAAATAGTGGACTCTGGATCCTCTACTAAGACCAAAGGGTCCACCTGGCTTCTTCTCAGCTCCTAGTTTAAGGCCAGCATTCCTCTTGGTATGGGGATCATCGGAGTCCATGACATGGGTAGCTTCCACATCTGGAAAAGCTCCATCAAAAACCCTGTTTCTTAAACCTTTGGGCTCCCCAACCTTTTCTTTTATTTGGGGTTTTATAGAAAAGTAGACTGAGGCAATGGGTGATCTGCAACTTTGCTGTTTTTGTCTGAACTTCAGAGTCTGGTTTTTCAAAGACTCAAAATTCAAAGGATACCCCCAAAAGAACTTCACTTCAGGGCAATCTTTCTATACAGTCTTTTGAAGGTTACATGGAGCGTCATCATGGAGGTTCAATCTGCAAGCAAACCCAATGAAACAACAAGATCAGTCTGCAGAGCTCATCTTTTTACAAAGACACAACACAGCTGGTAAACAATCCACGCTACACATGCTACACATGCTACACATGCTACACATGCCTGTTTTGTAACTCAGCATGAAAGCCACCAAACGCCTCCATTTAACCACACTGTCACATCTGGTGCACATCACACCATGGCATATAAACATGGAGCTTCTCAGGCACCGCGAGGAACCCTCTAAAGTTGACTTCACGGTGTGAACAAGAACAGGACACGAAATGTAAAACACATTTAAAGCCTCTGCCTTGATTCTGGGTCATCTTACAGACTTGTTAACACATCCCTGCTCTGAGTAATAAGGGCAGGGATGGAGGTCTTTAAGCGTCAGATGAGATACACATCTGCCTTCCTTGGAGTTTTTCTCCAGTCTTTACATGCTTCTTATTCACAGTGACCTACACTGTCTCCAGAGAAAAGCAGATTTATATCAATACAAGCAGTTGGAAGCTTGATATGACTAATACTGATTAAATTACAGTTAAAACCCCCTGAGTGGTGAAGCAACACACATTATTGGACTAAAGGTTTTTGGAGACCACTATCCAGTCAAGCTGATAGTACATCTGTTTTCCAAGTCCAAACCAAGCCCCAACCTGCAGTGGTAAAATTCCAGAACTCCTGAAATCCAGAATTCCAGGGTTCCAGTGTAAAACTCGGGGTAAAATGCTCCTTTCTGGATTTTTGTAGCTGTGGCTCACTGCAACCAAAGAAAATGAAATTGCATCACTTGGAAATAAATCTACATCACAGAGGCTAACTATAATGACAGAA